AGGTTTATGTGGCTGGTGCCTTAGCCAGTTGAGCCACAGGCGCCAAGCCTTCTAGTATTTTTATAGTTTCATGTCTTAAGTTTAAATATTTAATCCAGTGAGAGTCAGTCTTAGTGGTGAAAGGTGTGGATCTAGTTTTCAGTCTTCTGCAGGTCGCCAGCCAGTTCGCCCAGAACCATTTATTAAATAGGGAATTTTTTCCCCACTCAATGTTTTTAATTGGTTTGTCAAAGATCATATAGCGGTAAGTAGCTTCCTCTCTTGGTTCTCTATTCTGTTCCATATATCTACCTCTCTGTTTTTGTGCTAATACCATGCTGTTTTGATCACTATGGGTTTATAGTATAGTCTGATGTCTGGTAGCGTGATTCCTCCTGCTTTGTTTTTATTTCTGAGTAATGTCTTGGCTATTTGAGATTTTTTCTGATTCTATATAAAACGAAGTATTATTTTGAAATGTTTACCTTGAGCCAAGTAACACATCAATCACAATTATACTCATTTCTTAATAGTTTTGAAATGTATCATTGCATCATGCACATTAGGTGAGGTCTCCCCCAATACCCTCCCTTCTCCCATATCCCCTCTCCTCACCTCTGTCTCTCTTCTTCCCTTCTACTTTATAGACTATAGTTATGTTTTGCCATTGTATGAATGTGTATTGATTTCATAGTAGTATTGAGTACATTGGATACTTTTTTCCATTCTTGGGATACTTTACTAAGAAGAATATGTTCCAGCTTTATCCAGGTAAACATAAAAGATGTGAAGTCTCCGTCTTTTTATGGCTGCATAGTATTCCATGGTATACATACACCACAGTTTGTTAGGGTCGATGGGCACTTCTGCTGTTTCCATGTCTTGGCTATTATGAATTGGGTTGTAATAAACGTTCTGGTGCAGATGTCTTTGTTGTGAAATAATTTTTGATCATCTGGGTATATACCTAGTAGAGGCATTGCAGGATCAAACTGTAGTAAATTTTTATTATTTTTATTTATTTTTGGAGACCAAGTCTCACTATGTCACCCTCGGTAGAATGCCATGGCATCATAGCTCACAGCAACTTCAAACTCTTGGGCTTAAGTGATTTTCTTGCCTCAGCCTCTCAAGTAGCTGAGACTATAGGTGCCTGCCACAACACCTGCCTGTTTTTTGGTTGTAGTTGTCATTGTTGTTTGGCAGGCCCAGGCTGGGTTCAAACCCGCCAGCTCCCATGTATGTGGCTGATGCTCTAGCCACTGAGCTACAGGCGTCAAACTGGATATTTGATTCTTATAGCATAATTTCCTCTCATCAGAAAGTACTGAGAAGGATCTTTTAACATATTATTGGTAATAGTGTGGGAAGAAACAGGTTCTGAAATATAGCCATAATTTAAAAAAAAAAAAACATTTTGTTTGATGCTGAATCTGGCCTCTTTGTAGAGAGAATGTAAATTCTGTTTTCCTTGCCTTTAATGCTATAAAGTACAATATTGTTGTATTTTAATAATAAAGCATATATAACAAAAGTTAGACTTGACATTGTCTAAAGTTAGAAGAAAGAAATTATTGCTAATTATCAATAGTGGTGTTTTGAGATACCTTTACTCTATTTTTGCTCAGAGAAATTATGCTATAAATATGAGTTAGGTGACACAGAAGTCATCTAATACTGAGTCTTCTGAAAGTAATGTCCTTAACTCTTAGCATAACTTGGTTACCATGTTGTAGCAGTTACAGAATAACAAGGGAGAAGAGGTGAGAACTCAGAACTAGTTTGCTTTGTTACACAGTAAGGAGTGGATAGTCATTACTGTGTTCCCTTGGATGTCTGTGGCGTTTACTGTGGTACCCTAATTTCCAAAACTAATTTGCTATGTAAACATTTAACCAGACACCTTGTTGGAAGTTTCTCTACTTTTGGGGATTTAAAAGGTTAAATCTTTTGTTGTTAAATCTAATGTTGTTTCTGTTCATTGAAATAAGTACAGAAAATCTCATATGTTGGGACTATCCCAAATGTAAGACCTTTTTATTAACACTTTACTGAAGGCACTTCAGCACTTGCAGATTAAAGTACCTATTATAAGAGTGTGCTAACCACTTGATATGAGTGATTTTGAAAACACATTTTACTGATTTTTTTTTTAAGCGACTTGGTTCAACTAGACTTGATTGGTTTATTTAAAGAAATGAATGCAAATTATGTTTATTTCAGCATCCTAGGTTTATATACCGATGGAAATATATGCTAAGTTTTGATGTAGATTTTAAAAACAAACTTACGTTACTGGTTTAAAACTGAAATTTGACTACCATATCATAAAAAATAAACAATGAAGTAGTTGATTGCAGCATTTATGTCTATATATAAGCTTATATATATTTTTAGAGAGAGTGAGTGCTAGTTGAAAAACATATGCTATAAATTCCTTGTTTAGCACTGAATGGCTCAAGAAATATGTGATTGAGCTTGTGTTCCAGCTTTGGGGCATTCTTGTAGGGAAGGAACGTCCATAGAAAGGAACATTTTAACCAGTAGCTAAAAATTTGTTTATCCTTCAGTCAATCTTGTTTTCCTAGAATATTTTGAGAGGACCTCTGACTAACAAATTTTCAGAGTTTCCTTAGCAGTTTTAAGTGTTTTAACTTGCAAACCAAAATCAGTAACAACCATATTTCCTGAGATTGTCAGTAATGCTTAAATGAACTTTTTTCCCTTTTCTTTTTTTGTCTTTTTGAAGAATCTTTCCCTCTGTACAGCTGCCCTTATGTACATACTGAGTAGAGATCGCTTGAACATGGATCTTGATAGAGCTAGCTTAGATCTAATGATTCGACTTTTAGAACTGGAACAGGATGCTTCATCAGCTAAGCTACTGAATGAAAAAGACATGAACAAAATTAAAGAAAAAATCCGAAGACTCTGTGAAACTGTACACAACAAGCATCTTGATCTAGAAAATATAACGGTAGGTTTCCTTCTTCCTTCCTTTCATTGTAAGATGAAAATTACTTTTAGCAACTCTTTGATTTGTCACAGCAGCTGTGTGACTTGAGATAAATTGTTTAACTTTTCCTAGCTTTGCTTAACAATTTGGCAGATTCTTGTAAGGTGTTATTTGTGAACATATTTTCTTTTCTTTTTTTTTTTTTT